CCATGATCCGGCACAAGGACCTATTACAAATGGCATCAAGAAGAGACTCCAAGGCACAGGTTAATGTCCCAGGTTTCACTACCGTATAGCAAAACTGGCATTATCAGGACTTTGAAGACACATAGCTTGGTCCTGCACAGGTACTGGCATCTCTAAATACTCTTGTCGAGAGAGTTCATGACCCCTGCTGCCAGGCTAATCCATCTGCTACCCAGAGTTATGACCTACACTACCAAGGTATGTAAAGCTCTCTGTGACTTCAAAGTCCTCGCCACATACCGACAGAACAGGTTTACCTAACAAGTCCCCGATAGCTGGGGAGGGCATGATGCATATCAGTTAATTTGGGGGGTAATTTCGAGAAACATTAGAATACTAGCAAGCATAGTATATTGACATTTCTTTTGCCACGTGATGACCTATTACATATCTGTTTGGTTCTACTGAGTGTCTATGTTCACATCACGTTCACACGCGAATCTGATTGGCTCACATGATTTCCCTTGCCTACGTCATCCGCTACAAATCCGTCTGATTTTCCGTCACTCTTAACTACTTTTTGCCATTTGTCGCGGCGTTGGAGGCGTAAGCTTACTGCGGCTCCTGGAAATTGTGCATTTTATACCCTCTGTAACACCGTTATCAATTTGCGCAGAAAATGGTACAGAGGCAAATTCTTAGAATGATGTGTTGTACCACTGGGTAAGCTGAGATTCTTTAATTTAGGTGTGGGGTTGCATTTTCAATAATACCAATTTTGTTGAAAAGTTTTATCATGCCACGGACTGGACACAGCGTTGTGTTTACGAAATCAGGTGATTGGCATTTACGGCTTGTGATTGGTCAAGATACCCTAAGAGCCACCTGAAACGGCAGCTGTGATTGGCTACCGAAGATCTGACGCCTTAAGTGATTTGCGGCTCTGCGGGACTTAAGGCAGTGATAAGGCACCTTAAAAAACGTTTGTGCATACGAAGCTAAGTCCGAGATACAGCGCCTTTGACGGGCCTTAACTTAGGTCGCCGCAGGACGGTTAAGGCCTCCAGCGCGCCTTAACTTAAGGCTCTTTTGAGAATCCGGCCCCTGGACAGCATGTGACCCCTGCGCCATGGATTCATCACCAGCCTTTAACAGTTCAGCTAGGATGCCGCAAATACCAGCTGCTTGACCACTCGTCAGTTTGAAGATTGCCCACCTAACTTCAGTTAGGGCACTACCCGCATCAAGTTAACTGTTGGTGGGTGAACCTGGTACAACTGTTCAAAATGCTCGGCCCAGCGCTCCCGCACCACAACAGAATCTGAGACGATCTGGCCACTTAGCAAACTGCTGTCACTTGTGAAGAGGGCTTGGAGTTCAGCTTTCTCAGGGCTTGGTATGCAGGACGAAGGTCATTTACTAAGAAATCGCCTTCTACCTCCTCTGCAAGATTCCTAATAAACTGTTTCTTGTCCCTTAACAGTGACCTGAGAACGGTGTAAATCCCGATTCCCTGTCAGACGAGCCACACAACAAACATCTATGGCATCCAGTGTCTCCTGCGAGATGAAAGTGTGTCTTGCTCTCGGGTGTTCACCTATTGTTTCTTGAGCTGCATCAAGCGTTTCACGCTTGAAGGTGTCCCACAGAAGTACAGGGTCCATCAGATTGTCGAGCACTGTGAAACGACCAGAGACTGCCTCAGCAAACCCCCGGGCACACTCCCCCTCCCTTGGCCTGTTTAAGTGAAACACCCCAGGGTGATCTTTGGACTGCTGGGGAGTTTTGAAGCGGACCTTGAGGGTAGCCACAATCAATCTATGGTCAGTACATAACTCGGCACTCCTATACACCCTGCAGTTCAAGAGGATCCTGCGAGTGCTAACGAATACGTTGTCGATCTCCTTGGCTGCATTATCCGAATCGCTGTACCACGTCCAACGATGTTGGTCTGGGTGCTCGTACCAGGAGCCAGAAATCCTCAATTTCTGGGAAATCGCAAAGTCCCGGAAAAGGAGGCTATTCTCACCACCGGCATCAGGGGCCGGATTCTCAAAAGAGCCTTGTCCTGCGGCGCCCTAAGTTAAGGCCCGTCAAAGGCGCCTTATCTCGGACAGCTTCGGATTCTCAAACGTTTTTTAAGGCGCCTTATCACTGCCTTAAGTCCCGCAGAGCCGCAAATCACTTCAGGCGTCGGATCTTAGGTGGTCAATCACAGCTGCCGTTTCAGGCGGCTCTTAGGGTATCTTGACCAATCACAAGCCGTAAATGCCAATCAGCTGATTTCGTAAACACAACGCTGTGTCCAGCCCGTGGCATGATATAACTGTTTAACAAAATTGCTATTATTGAAAATGCAACAACACACCTAATTTAATGATTCTGATTTGCCTCTGTACCATTTTCTGCGCAAATTGATAATGACGGTGTTACAGAGGGTATAAAATGCCGCAATAAGCTTACGCCTCCAACGCCGCGACAAATGGCAAAAAGTTGTTAAGAGTGACGGAAAATCAGACTGAATTGTAGCGGATGACGTGGACAAGGGAAATCGTATGAGCCAATCAGATTCGAGCGTGAACGTGATGTGAACATAGACACTCAGTAGAACCAATCAGATATGGAATGGGTCATCACGTGGCAAAAGAAATGTGTCAATATACTATGTTTCCTAGCATTCTACCCATATATCTCGAAATTACCCCCCATATATATCCACACACATATATATCCATCCACACACACACACACACACACACACACACACACACACACACACACACACACACACACACACACACACACACACACACACACACACATATGTATTATATATATATATATATATATATATATATATATATTTATGAATATGTATATATATATTTATATATACATACATATATAATATATATATATATATATATATATATATATATATATATATATATATATATATAATATATATATATATATATATATATATATATATATATATATATATATATATATATGAATATGTATATA